TGCAGTGCACGTCGGATCGCTTTGGGCTTGGGATATGTGCGAAGACGAATTTCTCGCGTGAAATCCACGGCGAAAAGTACCTTACCGCTGCTGACCTTGGTGAGAACTCGTCTTGGAAGCGGATAAACTGGCCTGTTGTCCAGACGTCCCCAACAACCGCATGTGAAGGCGGCAATGGAAAGATGATGCCCGGCAGCCGCCTGGGACCACAGTCGCGGTGCCTGACAACCGAATCGCTGCAGGTTAATGACGGTACATCATCAGACAAATCTGTTCAAGGCATTTGTGCAAATGTGAAGTGTGACAATGATACTGTACGCGTGCAGTACAATGGCGACGACACCTGGCACTTGTGTCCTCAAGGACAAACGATTGCTGTAACGGGGTCTGCATTCAGCGGGGGAAAGATTCGGTGCCCCAAATACAGTGAGGTATGCTCAAGGGAGCCGAGTTCAGCCGGCATCACTGTGTTTACGCCTGTCGATATCAAAGAGAGTACAGGAACCCACAGCAGCAGCAGTGCGGCGAGTACACGATCTGACAAGGGCAAGGACCTACCGAAGAGTTTTGACGAGTACATGTTACCACCCGGAATGGAGCACCTCACCGAGGAGGAGCGCGCCAGGTACCGTGAGCATTTTCTGGCCAACGGCGGCCTTGACAGCAGCAGTACAACGACACTCATGACCTCAATGCTTGCTTTACTGTGTCTCGCTGCTGCCGTTCTGGTGACCCCATAACGGGGCACACACGCACCTCGCGGTGCACTGAATCCAGAGAGAGAGAGAGAGAGAGAGAGCAAATTGGGCGGGATGTTTTTTTTTTTTAATTTTTTTTTTTGCTTTGGGGCCACAGGTCCCTTTGGAGATTTTTCCCAATTCTTAATGTTTAAGCGCAGCACGTATTTGCTAAAGGGAAAAAGATACCATTTATGTATTGCTTTCTGTGGACGCGTCTACACACGAAGTTTGAAGTTGAAATATCATTGAATAATCTTGTTGGAACATGCATCCATCCGGAGTGCACACACCCACGCAGAGCTGGGAAGTGTGAAATTTACATAAGTACAGTGGGCGTCACGACGGTGACTGGTGCAGTCACGCTTCGGCTTCATTTCATTGGGGAATTATACAAGTCTTATGGGGTGGGATTTTTT